GGCGGCAGGAACCGGGACCTTCCCAGAAGGGACCTCTGCTCTCGGGACAGGGGACCAGGGATGCAGCACAGCGGGCAGGGAAGAGTGACGGCCAGGCCTGGTCAACAGCCCAGGAGGGTAGAAGGGAGCCGGGGACACAGCAGGAAAGAAAAGCAGAAAAACGAAGTGAACAGAAACGGCCTCCTGGAGCTGCAGTTTTCTCTTCGGAGGCAGAGGGAACACAGGGACCCAGGGACCCCTCTGGGGACGCGTACTCTGAGTTATCAGCAGGTGCACTGGGAAGGCTATAACTCCACGCAGCCCGACGGCTCTGCTCTCCCTCCCCAGGGAGGTGAGGGACTCTCGCTCCTCAGCCCAGACCCACTGACGGCAACGGCAGGGAACCAGCTGCGGCTGCCGTCCGGGCGCTGAGCGCGGATGCGGGGCGGGGTGCCAGCAGGACAGGCTGGGAGACTGGACGGAAGGGAGGGCCCCCAGACGCACCCAGAACACCTGGCCCCCAGGGCGAAGGGGCCCCGCACTCATCCCACTGGAGAGTCGCTGTGAGCCCTGCAGCTCAGGAGACACAGAACAACGGTGTGAAGCACCCACTCTGACTGCTCTGGGTCGGTCCGTCCTGCTGGCACCACTGGAAAAGGCCTTTGCATCCCCGTCAGAAGCTCACGGGGCTCCTGCATCTTAAACCAGAGAGTGGCCCATGGATTTACACACACACGCGGGGCGCTGGTGGCAGAAGGTCTGGACTGATGACACGAGGGGCCCTGGGTGCTGGGAGCCAGGACACCCCACCCTGCCCCCAGCTGGACGCCTCCCGCCTGGGAGGATTCTACGTGTGTCTGAATCCTTTGGCAGTAGGGGAAAAGGTACGATTTTAAAGTTCAAGGAAACCCACACTCCCTTTCCTCCCTGGTCCCATCATTACAAAGTCAGCAGAGGCCAGCGCAGACCCGGGGCCCCTGGTGCTCGCTGTGGCCACATCACACGCACACCCGCCGGTGGAGCCGGGGGCCTCGAGGAGGACGGCCCGCACCCACCCAGCTCCAGCCCGCCCAGCTCCAGCCCGCGGGCGAGGGGAGCCAGCACCCGATAGGGCCGTCACAGCAGCCTCGGGGACCCAGACGCGCCCGCCGGGCACACCCACCAGGGCCGTCAAGGACTCTGGAGAGTCTGAGTGGTGGACGGTCTGGAACGCTCACTCCCGGCACCAGCCCACGAACGATGCTGGGCAAGCCCCGTACACATCTGTGTCCCCAAATGAAAACGGGGGACAAGACCACGTGAATGCAAAGTCCTTTCCTAATCTAAAATTGCAGTCTGATTCTGCCTGGAAAGAAGGTTCTGCATTTCGTCGCGTCTTCTAGACTCAGAGGAGGGGGCCGCGGAGGTGGAGGCAGCTCCCCCTGCGTCTTGAACGCCCGGGAAACGCAGGAGTCCTCCCTGGGCCTGGCAGGGCCTCTCTCCTACTCACGGCCACTGCCCCTGACTTCACGACAAGCTTGGGGATGCAGAAGCAAGTCAATGAGCTGGCTGTCCTAGGAGGGCAGCAAAAGCCCCTGGTGCAGTCCACACGACCGCTGGCCTCCTCTGAGCTCCATGTGACAGCGGCTCCGAGGGATGGCCTGGATACCCCGGAACCAAAACCCGGCTTCCCTCTGACCAGCTGACCGCAGAACGGCCAGTGGGAGCGGCTGTCTCCCCAGCATGTGGGATCAGCCTGTGGCCGAGCTCTGGGGAGCCGCTGGTGTCAGAGGATGTGCTAAAATAACTCACAGCGCAGAATAAAACTCTGTGGTTACTGGGCTTTCACGGCAACTGAGAGAGCTTTCTGTTTTCATCTGTTTTACAATTATGTGCAAATTCTATTTTTATCCAGTTTGTGCTCCACTAACTGAAAAAGAAAACAAACCCCAAAGCCCCTCTTTTTACCTGCTCACCTCACCTTGCACACAGACTCCCTCTACTGCAGACAGATCAGAGAACTCTCCAGTCCTAACCCTCTTGCAGGAGGAATGCTGATAGAGGCTGACATTTCTGTTGGGCCTGGTTTCCTTTAGTGGTTCAGCTGTGCGGCAGGGGGAGGGGCCTTCATTCTGCTTAAACCCAGAAGCAGCCTCTCCCATCCTGCCATCACTTAACTCGAAATAATTTTGGAGGATTCACTCTTAAGGTATTTCCAATGTGGCTTCAATTTTCAGAATTCCTCCACAAGTCTCAGTCCTCTCCATCTCGTCTACACTGAGAGGTCAACACCGCCCTGTGCCCAAGACACCTGCCCGGTGGGAACGGGAGCGGGAGCGCGGCGCCAGGACCCTGCAGGGGGTGGGCTCCTTGTAATCCCAGAAGAGGCGGGGCACGCCCTTGTCCCCAGGGCCACAGCCACCAGGCCAAGGACAGGGACGGCCCTCGCTCCAGGCCTCAGTCCCGCGCTTTGCATCTCACGACAGGAGTGTCCACAAGGCACGAGGCTCCCTGCCCTCCAGGACCAGCGCCCCTCGCCAATATAATTTACAAGAAACGGGGGCTTTGGGCCATTATTTCTCTGCTGCTTTATTTTCATTTCTCCTTATTGAACAGCCTACTTCCTCACCTTTGTAATGTATTTTCCATTCAGCAGCCACGCACTTTCTTCCAGTGGAAACCATAGCAGGAAGGGACTTAAACACCGTTTATGGACTTGGCTAAGCGCAGGCATTATCCGACCTGCCTCCGCCCGGGAGGGGACCTGAAAGGGCCGCCGGCCGCTGGGCGCTGCTGAGCCCCCTCTGCGTTTCTCAAGTCCAGCGGCCAACCAATACCAAGTAGGTATTAACCGGCGTCGAGCGCACAGCCTCCGATGTCACCCTAACGTCACCCCGCAAACTCCAGGCCCTGACTGCCGCGTCGGCGGACCGGCACTTGTCTCTGCGCCCTCCTGCCCTCGCAAGCTTTATTTTTATTTATCTAAATGGAATCAAATACAAACACGGGGTGCCCTGCTGCTTCCCCTTCCGGCTTGCACCATTCCCTAAATGACAGGGTTGGGGAGCGGACTGGACAGGCGGGGGCGTAGCTAGATGGGGGAGAACCGTCTCCATCAGCGCCGTACGGCTGCAGTTCCGGGGCAGGAGGGCAAACTCATGTCCAAGGGGACAGTCATAGGTCACATCACAGGGGTCTGGTGGGAGACGCTGGGCTGATGAGGTGACACGTGTGACCAAATGCCAACGCCTGCAGGACAGCCTGTCCGCGAGTTCACCTTTACCTCCTTGGCTGGAGGGGGGTGACAGGTTTGGGATGGCGGGTGCGGGCTGGACACCAGCTCTGAACACGTTAACTCTGACGCCAAGTACACACATCTCCCCTGGGGAGTGTGAGGCTGGGGAGTGGCACCCGGAGCCACACCGACAGAGCCCCGCTGGCTCCCCGCAAGGCCGGAGCAGCCCCTCCCTGATGCTGCCACGGCCCCGACACCCCACGGCAGGTCCCCACTCCTCCTGTCCCCAGCTGAGAAGCAAAGTGGCGGGTCCCAGCCGGCACTCCAGTGCTGGGGCTGGTGAGCAGACCCAGGGCCCAGTGGGGGGCATGGGCCAGAGAATTGCATCTCTAAGGGACCCTGGGGAGGCTTACTTTGGGAACCACTGCCTCAAAGGGTCCAAGGCTTCAGAGAGGAAAGGATGGAGTCTTTAAAAGTAGCCTCTGAAAACCCCAAACCAGAGGCAGCAGCCGTGCAGATGGACTTCGCTGTGGACAAATCTTAACGTGGCCCAAGGAGACCTTGGTCGAGGCTCTGTTGACGGCCGTGGGGAGACGTGCTACAAGGATGGTGGTCACATCTGGGGAAGCAGCCCCAGGAGGTGGGCGGCCATGGCCAACGCAGGAGGGGAACAGCGGCTGCGGGCAGAGCAGGGCTGCACGCTC